CTACTGCTACTCCTACAACTACTCCTACTACTACTACTATAATCTTAATCACAATCATCATAATAATCAAAATAAACATAATAAATATGTTAATAATAAACATAATAATAATAATAATAATAATAATAATAATGTATTTTTACCCTTCGCTCGGAAATAGATTCTAGATGTAGGTGCGTGGTGGTAAAAAAATTTTAGCCTCTCAATTAATATTATAGTAAAAGAGGATGTCTAGGAAAAGGTTGATAAGCAGTGCACCAGAGCTTAAGACAATGGGTAGACTAAATTCTATTGATAACTTCGTTGAGTAGAGCCCAGTCTGCGAAAGTTGGGACTCGGACTGCGCCTTTGAGGTGTACAACACAAAACTGAACAGGTTACAGCCATTAACTGCTTCGTTGTTGTTGTTGTTGCTGTTGTTGTTGATGTCGTCATCGTCGTCGTTGTTGTTGTTGTAGCTGTTGTTGTTGGTGGTGGTGGTGGCGGTGGTGGTTTTTTCCCTTTGTAGTCAGAGTTTTACGGCACTTACAACACAAATAAAGTCTTATAAGTCCTACCGAATATTTGCATGGAGAGTAACATACAAAGATCAGAAGCAGGATAGATAAAGACGATAGGAGAGAGGGATTTCTGATCGATAGCAGCAACAAAAACGATCGATAAAAACACAAAAAGAAGGAGAAAAGCACATCAGGTTCGAGCACCCGCCAACTGCACCCATGCAGATGAACAACTACACAGGTTCATGTGTAGATATAATATAAGTGTTAATAAAGCTGCTGGAAACCGCACGTTTTCACTCATTCTGTTCCATAATTTTCTGCTACTTTTGGTTAAGCCTATACTTATCATGGATCACCGCTGTCTCACCAAGCGTCTCGCTTCATGCAAAAATGCAAAAATAATATTATATGGTTGAATTTTAATGTAGCCTACTGATTGTGTAGGCTAACTGTTCGGAAAAAAATATTTTAAATTGTTTTCCTTTTATTTCTGTCCCATACGGCCTTTTGTTCTGTGAATGATACTTTTATCAGAGAGAGAGAGAGAGAGAGAGGGGGGGGCAGAGAGAGGGAGAGAGAGAGAGAGAGAGAGAGAGAGAGAGAGAGAGAGAGAGAGAGAGAGAGACAGACAGAGTACACATAAAATGGTTCTAAAAGTTGTTACTCTGCTATCGATGGCATGTCTTTTTCTATGACACCCCATACCCCTTTATTCTGTCTCATCGCTCTTTTGTCCGGTCGACTATTTTCGGCAGAGACATAATGTTATTATCACTGTTGTAGCAGTAGTACAAATGTACTTTTCTTTTGTTCCTAAACGTTATAACCGTGTTGCCGACGGTTTACCCTTTAATTTGACACCACAAAGACCTGTTACATAATTTTATTACAGCAGCGGAGATAAACGTTTTTATAGTTTAAAAGGACCCCCCCCCCCCCCCCAATGGTGTGTACGGAGAAGCACCGCATAGAAAAGATAGACCTAAAGTTCTTTGGGGATCAGCTGCAAGCCCGCACGATCAGGGGAAAATATAACATTCAGCGAAGCTATGACTAGTGACTAGGCTATGAGAGAGACTCATTAATTAACAGTATATTATTATATAGCGGCAGCAGCTGCAGAAGGAGAAGCGGATGTTAAATGCTACCTATTATTATGTTGTTATTATTATCAAGTTATTCTGTAACTGTAAGTGTTTAAAACACCGCCAAATAGTGCGTACGAACCATAGATGGTGCGTACCGACAAACACTGCAAAGAAATGAAAGACCCAGAGTTCTTTGGGGATGCGTGAGCTGCAAGCCTGCACGATCAGGGAAAAATATAACATTTTGCGAAGCTATGACAAGGCTATGAGAGAGACTCATTAATTAACAATATATTATTATCGGCAGCAGCTGCAGAAGAAGTGGTACCGTGTTATGTTAAATCTGTCTCCGCGGTTTTATGCCAAAAAAAATTCTGAGATTAAGCAAACTGAGCTCAAAAATATGAAATTATGCGATCCTGTCAATTTTAACTAAGAATGATAAAGGAAAATAATCAGAAATTAAGCCAAAAAAAATAAAAAATAAATCAAATCAAATTTTGCTAAATTATGCGGGGTGCATAAAACCCCAGGGACAGGTCTAAATGCTACCTATCATTAAATGTTATTAATATTATGTAACTGTAGAAGTAAATTTAAGCACTACAAGTTGCTCCTTTACAGAAGTGTGGGCAAGGAGCAAAAAGGGTAACGGCTGAGGCTACTAGATTGAGGGGGAGAGAGAGAGAGAGAGAGAGAGAGAGAGGGCAA